CAAATAGCATCTCAGAAAACCAAATACTCAGAGAGAAGTCTGACAAAAGATGGAAAATCCTATACACTAAACTCTACAGAACCTTGCAGGGGGACATTAAGGATTTTACTAGAAAGATCTATCATGTAGAGGGGTCAGAAGACTCAATATTGTTAAGAAGCCTATTTATCCCAAATTGATCTATAGATTCAATTTAATCCTAAACTAAATTTCAGCAACCCTTTGTATAGAAACTGAAAAACTAACAAAAAAATTGATAGTGAAATGCAAAGGACGTCTAATAGCCAAAACAATTCTAAAAAAGAATAAAGTTGGACAACTAACATCACCTGATACAAGACTTACTATGAAACTACAAGTGGTCAAGACAGTGCAGTATTGACATTACAACAAACAGAAAGACTGGCAGAAATTAGAGTCCAGAAATACGCATGCATGTTGGTCACTCAGTCCTATGTTTGACTCTTCAGGACCCCATGGACTGTAGCCTGCCCAGCTCCTCTGTCCATGGAATTCTCCAGGCAAGAATACTGGAGTGGGCTGCCATTCCCTTCTCCAGGGGATCTTCCTGACCCAGGGGCTGAGCCCACGCTTCCTGCACTGTAGGCGGATTCTTCACCGTCTGAGCCACCAGGGAAGTCCAGCATCCAGAAATATAATCACACATAAACATATTTTAAAAGGAAGGTGGAAAATCAGGAGAGAAAGAAGAGTCGTGATGCTGGAACAACTGGATATCTATATGCCAAAAATACGAACTTCAAACCATTCCTCACGACCATATGAAATAAACCACAGACCAAACTATAAGTTCTAAATTCTAAAACTATAAAAATTGTATAAGTAAACATAGGAGAAAAAGTCTGTAATCTGGGATTCAAAGAGTTCTTAGATTTACCATTAAAAATATGACCTGTAAAGAAAAAAATAAACTTTGAAATTTAAAAAAATCTGCTTTTTAGAAGACACTGTTAAGAGAATGAAAAAACAAGTCAAACTGAGAGAAAATATTTGATCATTATACATTTGATAAAGGACTTGTATCCAGAATTTATAAAGAATCAAGACTCAACTGCAACGTGCTTGTGTGCTAAATCGTGTCCTAGTCGTGTCTGACTTTGTTGTCACTGTGTAGTCGCTAAGTCATGTCCCACTTGTGACCCCACAAACTATAACCTGCCAGGCTCCTCTGTCCATGGGGATTTTCCGGGCAGGCATACTGGAGTGGGTTGCCATTTCCTCCTCCAGGGGATCTTCCCCACCCATGGACTGAACCTGCATCTCCTACAGCTCCTGCAATGGCAGGCAGGTTCTATACCACTATCACCACCTGGAAGGCCCCAATTACAACAACCCAAATTTTTAAAAAGTGGGCAAATTATTTAAATAGAGACTTCAAAGAAGATTATGAATGGCAAATTAACACATGACAAGATGCTCATATCATTAGTCAGTTGGGAAAGCAAATTAAAACCAGAGTAAGACACTTAAAATTATAATGTCTAAAGATTGAACACACAAAGTGTTGATGAAAATGTAGAGAAAGTGCAGTTAGGAATGTCAACTAGTATGACAACTAGTATAATGACTTTAGAAAGCAATTTAGCAACTTCTTAAAATTTTAAACATGTACATTCTATCTAATTCACTTATTACATTCCTAGGTAAATTTTCAGCAGAAAAATGAAAGTGCATGTCAGTACAAAGACTTGTACATAAATGTTCACAGCAGCTTACTTTGCAGTAGCCCTAAACAGGAAACAATGCAAAAGTCTATCAATAGTTGATAACAAATGGGATATATTCATATAATGAGGTCTACTCAGCAAAAGGTGAACTTCTGAAAACCATGGACAGATCTCCAATACGCTGAATGAAACAAACTAGACTCACACAAGAAAAGAGGAGTACAGACTGCATGCTCCCACTTACATTAAATTCTAAGAAACGCCAACAATACACAGTCACAGAAAGCAGATCAGTGGTGGGCTGGGGCAGGAGGTGACGGTGGGAGGAGGGAGGGACTAAAAAGGCATGAGAAAAATCTGAGGGTGAGAGGTGTGTTCATTGCTTTGACTGTGGTGATGTTTCACAAGTGTATACATATGTCAGTATTTTATATATATATATAAAATATATATATATATATAGTGTATGTCAATTACGTGTCAATAAATATGTTTTCAAAAAGACTGAAAAATTATGGCTATTAAATATTAGACATCTGACATCCTCTCAAGACTGAGTGAAGTTAAGTCCAACACTTCAAGGCAAAACAACTGACAGTTTTTGTTGCCAGGGACAACATTCCAGTTTCCCAATGCAAATTAAAATTTTGGAAAACACATATTTGCCGTCAAGAAATTGACACCTCCTATTACTTTTCCAGTGAGATTAGGGATGGAATTAATGAATGTGATCTTTTGATACTGCATAATGAATTATGTCACTGTTCGGTTACTTGATATTTTCCACATGAGGTATGACAAAGCATGATGCTACAAAAATCACGCATTCATCTTAAAAGATCAACCAACTGAATTACTGTAACAGAGTATGAAAAGTTCAGTGTGGTTTCACATCCCACACTGCAATGAACCTTCAAGAAAGTTTAGCAAAGTCTACTGCGGTAGGCAGAATGTGAAGATGGCGTCCCAATAGTGTCCCACCCTAACCCCTGGAACATGTGAGCAAGGTCAGATACCACTCCCATGATTATAGCTGCCATGCAGCACAGCTGCCCTAAAGGTAGGCAGCTTGGGCAGGTGAACCTGTTCTAATCACAGAACCTCTCTAAACAGCAGAGTATTCTCTCAGCTTTTTTGAAAAACAAAATAGAATGAAACAAAAAACATAAGAGCAAGTTAGAGAAATTCAGAGCATCTGAAATATGTGACACACTGGGTCTGAAGATCCGAGAGTGTAGAAACCCGTCAAGAGCTGGGAGATGCCCTTGGCTCACAGCAAGAAAAGAAAGAGAACCTCAGGTCATTTCTCAACTGCAAGAGATGAGACTCGGCCACCACCCAGAAGGAGTCTGGTAGTGATTCTTCCCCAGTGCTCCAGACAAGAGCTCAGTTAGATATCCTGATTTTTGGCTTTGGGAGACCCTGAGCAGAGAACTCAGTCAAGCCTGCCTGGACTTCTAACCTACACAACTGTGAGGTGATAAATGGATGTTATGTAAAGCTGCTAAGTTATGATCATTTGTTGTGCATAAACAGAAAGCTAATACACTTCCCATAAATCAAGATGCACATAAACTCAGACCCAAGTTGAACACTGTTTAAAAAAGAAAAAAAAAAGTAATAAAATTGGAAACAACCAAAGTGCCCATAAATAGAAGGCCCATTTAAATTATATAAAACCAAATAATGGAATATTCTGTAGCCATTATAAAGAAAAGGTAGAACTATATGGATGAATAGGAAACAATGAAATCATGTTATGTTAGAGAAAAAAGAAAGCTTTATGATTTTAAATAATTAAAAGATTTGCATAAAATCATGGTATTCTATATTAAATATTTTCCTGGGAGGAAACCACAAAAAACTAAATAGTTCGCTTTGGATTAAGATTAGATTGTTGAGTAAGAGGCTTTTATTTTTAATTTTCTGCCTTTATTACATTTTGAATTTTCTAATGAAGTTTGTTATTCTTAATATCTAAAAAAAATCAATAAAGGTTACTATTTAATGTCTAGATAAACACTTCCCTGGCTCTCTTCCAAAGCTATCTTTTGTTTTATTTAGTTTGGACCTCCATCAGGAATTTGTCACCATGCTCCTTTAGTCAGTTACGGGAACACCAAAATTACTCTTCCTCATCAGGTCTGCCCCACCTCTCAAATCTAACTTTTTCAGTGACATCCCTTATTATCTGGGGGCATCATCTGCATTATGTAAATGTTTTATGTATTCATAATACTTAAACATACTATTTTAGGTAAAATTATAGGCTATTCAACTGTTTTTAAAATTTTAGACTATAGTCTATTTTTCATAACTGTATGAAAGCTACTTTGAGATTTAATCACAAGTAGTGTAAATCATGCAAATATATATTGCCATCTTGAGAATGAAAACGATTATAATCTAGGAATCCTGCAGTTACACGGTGATAAAGAAATATTCTAATAGCAATCAAACCAGGTGGTAAAATTGGACCAACTATCCTTAAATTATGAAAGGATTATGTGAAAAGTTTTCAGTGGGCAATCAACAATACCAGGTTTATGTGATGTATATTCAAAGTTAGAAATATTTTTCATATTCAAGTTTCTTCTTCTAAAATGAGTAAACAGCTAAGGTAACAAAGCAAATGCTTATCAGTTATTAAATATTGTATTTTTAAATTTATAAAGATCATATTTTGCCTCTGATCATATTTTCTACAACAGAAAGATGCATCAATATAATAAAAATAAAGATATATGATATCAGTTTGACATTATCCGTGTTTGTTGGCAAAAGTAGTTAACCAAAATACCTGGCAGTTTTAAAAGTCACCAGAGAGAAATACAAGGATAAATTCCAAGAGAGATTACCTTTTTTTTGGTCCACATATTAAAGAAGTTCAAAGTTTGTGACCCAAAGCATTATGGTATTATTATGTACAACTTAACAAGAGGAGGTGTGGTAATGTACTTGCAAAATGACATAAATGAACTAAATTCTTAGTGCTATCATTACTATAAAGTAGAACTAAGTAGACAACTTTTCTAAATAGTCTTTCTCAAAGAAACATTATATACAACTAAATTCCACGTGGAACTGCAATGTAATAATATATCTCCTTTTAAAAAGGTTGGTTGACATTTTCTAGAAAACAGCAAGTATTAGAGGCTATAAAAACAATGAGTACATGTACAAACTCTTCATCATGAGGAAAATGTTAAAGAAATCATGGAAAACTTCACAAGGAGAAATCAAAGAGACTCTATATAAAAGTAACAAAACGACACTAAAACGCCATTGAGGAAACTGCTAAAATGGTATTACCTGGAACCAGTTCCATAATGATGTAGATAGGCTGTCTCTGTGTGCAGACCCCTATAAGTTTGACAATATTGGGGTGATCATACTGCTTGAGAATTCTGGATGAGAGAAATGTAAGAATAATCACCATTTAAGTAGTAAGCATTAATTTATGATCATGTGTAGTGTGCACAATTAGGATACACAATTTTTAAAACTTAAGTACAAACACAAATTGTGATAAATGGGATGTACATAAGTTTTGATAAATCTTGGAAAAATAGATATAAATGAGTCAGCTTTTAATTAAATATTCATTTAAAAACTAGTATCCACTCTGAAAACTAACAATCATGCTAAATCTGAATAACTTACTCAGTCCAAAATATGTAGAACTCCTTTCAAAGCATCTGCTTTTCGATGCCCTCACAAAAGCTGAATAGTATTAGTGGACCAAAAACTGTAAGCTGTTAGGGCAGCAACTTTTTGTTTGGTTTTGTTTTATGTATACAATTCATTAATAACAGATAAATATAAGAACAATTCATATTGGTAAATGCTGTAATCACTTCACATTTAGATTTCATAATACCTACTTGACAATCATGGTCAATTTCAAATAGTATAAACTCAAAAGTTTTGAGAAGCCTGGCAGAAAGTTAAACAATGAGTAATATTAGATTAAAGTTAAAGCAAGGAAGTTTTGGTTTGGATAAAGGCAGAATTTCAGAGGGCTATAAAAGTAGCAAAGACTCATCTATAGGACTCCAAGCATGAGTTAAAAATAGATTAGATGCCCTCACAGGCCTGTCTGCCCTGATGATTTCTGTTATCAAATGATATTCCGTATTATCCTGTTGACATAGTTATAAATTCATTCATATTTGAAAAAACACAGGTTCTTTCAGGAGAATGAAAAAAATAACTTCATTTGGAGAAAGATGAAATAGTTTATATATGTGCTGTACATGTACAACTAAAGCAGAGACAGCTCTAAGAAAAATGTCATAAATTGAAAATGTACAGTGTTTATTAACAAATGAAGACAGACTAGGAAGAATTCTAGAGATAAAAAAATACTGTTAATAACTGAGTTTACAGTTTCTATCATGAATTAGAAAGGGAGTTTTAGAATGATTGACTTTAATCCAAAATGTCATTTCTTAGGCTGAAAACTGCTTAATAAAGAAATTCTAAAAAATAGCCAGGATGAACCCAAATAACATTAAATATTTAAATATATAGATCTATCTTCTAATTAAAAGATACTTGAGAGCTTGCATGGATATAACTGTCATTTTTAACAGAAAATTTCATAGTCTCACATTAGAAGAAGAAATTAAACTCCATTTCTCAATAAAACATTCACAAATTAGAAAGCAAGGTACTTTAAGATATCTGTGAATAACTAAAATGATGAGCCCATGAATTTCAGTTGTAATAGGATGCTTTTAAGTTCATTATAGAATATTTTTTCTGAATTGCTGATAATATATATGAAAAATGCTTGCAACTTTATTCCATCAGTTCAGCATAGATAACATTTAATAAATGTACCCAAGTAGCTTAATACATTGTTATAAATATCTACTGTTTACATGGAGAGACGACATCAAGATGCTCCACTCCATGGGATTTGGTTCCCTCACTGCATGTCCTCTGTTCTTCCAGGGCACTTCACCAAGCTTTGCTTTTATATACAGTGCCCTGAAGGAGGTAACACCACCCCCCCCACACACACCTCTTTTCCTCCTTCCCCTTACACCACCCATCTATGATCTATATATACACCCTTCTTCTCTCCCTCTCAACTATCCATCTACTGTTCCATACATCTCCCATTCATATGTCCGTTCTCTGTCCAAAGCCCCTTTCATTTGTTTTGTGTCTTGTTGTATATTTTTGTGTTAGTTGTAGATTTTACAACTAACTGAATCGTTGTAACTACTTGCAATATAGGGCTGGCAAGTTGCAACATTAAATTTTAGCTAAAACTGAAAATTGGGAAGACAATCATTGTAGAAGATCAATTAGGAAAGAAACAATGTAAATTTTGGAACAAAGTCAGACACCGAGCTGAAGAAGAAATCTGAGATTCTAAGAAAAGAACTCTGAGAGCTGGGAACAATCAAGCCATACTGTCTAAGGAGAGTAAGGAAGATGTCATTAAACTCTCAAGGTGTATCTACATTAAGCGTTTTATTCAGAGAGCACAGACTGTTTTTATTATAAGGTCAATCACAGCACAACACATATACATATGTGTATATGCGTATGTGATAGGAGCAAGAAATACTGCAATTGTTTTTAAAGACTTGAAGAATATTTACTGTTCTTAGCATCTGGCTCTTTTGATTGTAACTGCTAAATGACCTAGAGTTTCACTTCAAAGGAGAAACTTTTTGTTTTCAGAATGCTTACTTTTGAAGACTCTCGAAGTACCTACTTCTAATTCATCAAGTCATAATTTAAGATATCTTCAAACATACATTTTAATGAATCACTTTTAAGTACATGTTAACATTATTTTAGAGAACTCACTTGGCTTCTTGTAAGAATTTTATTTTCAGTTCCTGAGGAAGATCTTCTTTACATGTTTTAACAGCAACAGCAGTTTTATCCTTTAATATGCCCTTAAATACTTCACCAAAATTTCCCTGAAAATACAAACAGATTTATTGTTCAGTGCATAATACAGTCACATAAGTCTTTGAAAAATTCCAGGCACGCATGTAGTGATGAGCTTTGAGTTAAAAGTACTCTGTTAGCTTTATTCAGTTTCAAGCACAAATAAAGACTGGGTAGGCTGCTCTTTCCAATTCCCCAACTTTAAACATACTACCCAACACTCCAGCCGTGCAGGAGACCGAGGCTTGAGGGGAACTGGAGAGGAAATGGAAAAAACTGAAACAGTGTAAAAGGAAAGACTAACACGGTCAGAAGCACCTGTCTCCCCCCGCCTAGTCCCCTTTTACCTTCCAGCTCTACATTTCGGTATCAGTAGATTAAGCAGTCCCCATCAACACTCTAAGGTAAAGCCACAGTGCTGGGAGGGGACTGGTGGCACTGACCCACACGGTCAGGGCTCAGAGGAGGAGAGTGTGAGAGGCAGGGGCCAGGGCGGGGCGCCGGAGCCCAGGCCCAGGAAGGGCCAGCAACAGGGCCTGCAGTGCCGCAGGCTCTGAGAGGCGCCGGGATGCAACCAGCACTGTGAGGTCATCTCTGCCCGCTGTCTGAGCGCCGAGCCCTACTCTGGGGCTTCAGCATACTCTGATTTAAAATGCCTTACTTCAAACACATGAAAAGATGCTTCACCTCACTCATTATCAGAGAAATGCAAATCAAAACCTCAATGAGGTACCATTACACGCCAGTCAGAATGGCTGCTATCAAAAAGTCTACAAGCAATAAATGCTGGAGAGGGTGTGGAGAAAAGGGAACCCTCTTACACTGTTGGTGGGAATGCAAACTAGTATAGCCGCTATGGAGAACAGTGTGGGGATTCCTTAAAAAACTGGAAACAGAACTGCCATATGACCCAGCAATCCCACTTCTGGGCATACACACTGAGGAAACCAGATCTGAAAGAGACACGTGCACCCCAATGTTCATCGCAGCACTGTTTATAATAGCCAGGACATGGAAGCAACCTAGATGCCCATCAGCAGACGAATGGATAAGGAAGCTGTGGTACATATACACCATGGAATATTACTCAGCCATTAAAAGGAATTCATTTGAATCAGTTCTGAGATGGATGAAACTGGAGCCTGTTATACAGAGTGAAGTAAGCCAGAAAGAAAAACACCAATACAGTATACTAACACATATATATGGAATTTAGAAAGATGGTAATGATAACCCTATAAGCAAGACAGAAAAAGAGACACAGATGTGTAGAACAGACTTTTGGACTTTATGGGAGAAGGCGAGGGTGGGTGATCTGAGAGAACAGCATCGAAACATGTATATTATTAAGTGTGAAACAGATCACCAGCCCAGGTTGGATACATGAGATGGGTGCTCAGGGCTGGTGCACTGGGAAGACCCAAAGAGATGGGATGGGGAGGGAGGCAGGAGGGGGGATCGGGATGGGGAACACATGTAAATCCATGACTGATTCATGTCAATGTGTGGCAAAACCACTACAATAATGTAAAGTAACTAGCCTCCAACTAATAAAAATAAATGAAAAAAAATAAAATGCCTTACTTCTAGTTTGAAGTTGCTTTCATGGTAAGTATGAAAAAAAAAAGATCTATAAAGCTAACATGACAGCTATCTTTAAGCATTCTCTTTGTCTTTCTCTGTACGCATATGTACTTTTTACATAGCTCTAACTGTAATGAGCAAGCATCATAAATAGCTTTAATGCTACTGCTGTTGAGCAAGAAATAACTCAGTGAGGGGTCTGAAAATCAATGGGCATGAGTTCTAAGATAAACATAATTCTTAATAGTCCACGGAATATAAATTTTAAATGTTCCTAATAATTGAAAATTACTAAAATACTGATTTTAATAAACTCATTATTTATTAGATAACTGCTGTTTGCTTAAAATAACATTTATTCTATTTAATATTGAGCATACTTCAGTATTTAAGTAATGAATAGTATTACTATTAAATCTAATATTCAACTCAAATATTAATTGAAAACAATGACTGATTACCCTTACATGAAAAGTAAACATCCAATAAATTCAACACAGTACACATTCATTATAAGCTAGAAACAGAAATAGTTGAGCTTTATATCCTTCCGTGTTATTCAAGGGTTTTTTCCCTTCCCACAATCATCATATCATTTACTATGTCAGAAATAGACCCAGTAGAAGGTGTTAGTATACATGATTACTGCTAGGCCTTTATTTACCTGAATGATTCTGAAGCACTAAAAATTCATCTTGCCTAAGACTTAACATTTAATTCATTAGAAGACACTTGCTGACTAAATTACCAGGACCACTGTTCTCTCTACAAGCGTTCCGATTCTCCTTCTAGAAACTTCTGTCTTCCTTCTCACATCTCATACAGCCTGCTTTCATTTTTCTTACCTAAGCTAATCTCACCATCAGTTCCTCAGCCCTTCAACCCATCTACCACAGCACTGCCAGATTAATCATTGCAAGAAAATACTCCTGCCTTCTTGAACATCTAGCCTTCCATGGCCATTTCTCTCTCAGCCTCTGTCTAGCTCCCTCTCGTAGCTCATTACTGCTACATGTATCCTAAATTCAGACAGGGATTTCAAAATACGTGCTCTACCTTCTGCACATTTCCCCTCTACTTCCAATCAAAGAACAAGCTAACTAATTTGGAAGTGCACTTCTTCTGCTCCTCCTGTATGCAGAGCTTCCCGATCTTCCCCAGATTATTTCCGCCCTTCCTGAACTCCTGTCATCCCATGGCCCCTTGGTGCATTTCTGCTGGTCTCTACCCTATACGGACCTATAGGTCCTGGCTCATAGGAAGCATTTGAAAACTTTGACCATTCATTTAACAATCTTCACTCAGAAGACTTCCACTCTATTAAGAGTGATCAAGGGAGGACTCTCAAACAGTGAAAAAGACTCTGCTTCACAGACCACCTCTTCTTCATCCAAAGAGGTCAGGAAAAAGGATAGGACACCCACTGATCCCTACCACCTAGCAGGTACAGCTTCATCTCTGCTGCTGGCTCCAAGTCCACGAGGCTAAACTTAATGATGTCGCTTATCTCTGTTTACATCCATCCTCACAGAAGGTCCTGGTGGCCCTCGTCTCCCCCTCTCTGATTCTGGTTAGGCTATGTGGACTCCTGAGATCTCCAACTATTTCTCTTCTATCCCCAGCCTCCCCTGTGTCTTCGGGAACTTCTGGTCCATCATTAAAATTTTATCTAGATCAAGATCATGCTCTTCACCTTCTTGCTCTAATAGAAACCTCCCTCTCACTTGAGAACACTCAAATGGTGGGTTTCTTTTGGCTTCTAAAATTGTGATTTCCTTTTATTTCCCTATACACACACACACCAGGCCTTCTCCCAGTGGCCTGGAGACAGAAAAAAGGATTCCACTAGCTATCTGTCACTGCTTTTAAAACATTTTCTCTACTGCCTTCCTAAAAACCCCTAGTTTGAAACTTTATCATTTGATTACATACCCAATACCCTGGCTAGTAGCTACTGCATTAGAAAATATTTTCCCTCATTTGTTGACTATTTGAGCTCCTGAATCACTGTGCCAGGTTTTACTCCTGTCTTAATACTTGGAAATTTCAATAGACAATTAAGGATTCTTCCAACACTTCAAACTCTGTTTTGTGACCATCTCTGTCCTTCAATGATCTGTGCTGCAACCTATTTTATAGATTCAGATCTTAAACTTTGCCATCATCAGTGATGCCACTCCTCAATAACATCTATTTCATTTATCTCATCTTCTGGCTGGCTTTTATTTTTCTAGCTTACTTCTTCTAGTATCCAGACTGAAAATTCTTTGACCCTATCAGTTCAGTTCAGTTCAGTTCAGTTGCTCAGTCGTGTCCGACTCTTTGCGATCCCATGGACTGCAGCACGCCAGGCCTCCCTGTCCATCACCAACTCCCAGATTTTACTCAAACTCATGTCCATCGAGCCAGTGATGCCATCCAACCATCTCATCCTCTCTCATCTCATCCCTTCTCCTCCCGCCCTCAAGAGTTCCCAGCATCAGGGTCTTTTCAAAAGAGTCAGCTCTTTGCATCAGATGGCCGAAGTATTGAAGCTGATCAGCTTCAGGAGTCTTCTCCAACACCACAGTTCAAAAGCATCAATTCTTCCGTGCTCAGCTTTCTTTATAGTCCAACTCTCACATCCATACATGACCACTGGAAAAACCATAGCCTTGACTAGAGAGAGCTTTGTTGGCAAAGTAAAGTCTCTACTTTTTAATATGCTGTCTAGGTTGGTCATAACTTTCCTTCCAAGGAGCAAGTGTCTCTTAATTTCATGCCTGCAATCACCATCTGCTGTGATTCTGGAGCCCAAAACAATAAAGTCAGCCACTGTTTCCACTGTTTCTCAATCTATTTGCCATGAAGTGATGGGACCGGATGCCATGATCTTAGTTTTCTGAATGTTGACCTTTAAACCAACTTTTTCACTCTCCTCTTTCACTTTCATCAAGAAGCTCTTTAGTTCTTCTTCACCTTCTGCCATAAGGGTGGTGTCATCTGCATATCTGAGGTTATTGATATTTTTCCCAGCAACCTTGATTCCAGCTTGTGCTTCTTCCAGCCCAGCGTTTCTCATGATAGGAACCTCCAAATCTTTAGATCCTATTACTTTTTATTGTCCAGTTTCCTCCTTATTCAGCTTAAGTTCCATGGCTCATAATTACTTTCTACCATACACTCCCAACTTCTTTATTCCTCTGAATTTCTAGAACCCCCTTGTCAAATACACAGCCCAGACCAGTTGTGGCATGGCCTACCCTGGACTGATACAGTTCAGTGTGGATGGAGAAAATTCACACCGATGTTGATTAGCTTTACTTTAAGAACACACACCTCTAGGAGGTCCTTAATACTGCTCAATAATTATTATACAATTCCCAAGACCACGAACATGCACATTCTTCTAATTAACTCTTCCTCGCCCTTCAACTCTCTTCTTAAAGATTCTGTACCTCCCCTACTACAACCTCATTCTCAGCTAATGATCTTGCTTCCTGATTTACTGAGAAAATTGAAGCAATTTCCGACTTTCAGGTCCACATTGACCTTCCTGCCAATCTTCCTTGCTGTTACAAGATGAACTGTGCTTCTATTAAACTCAATCCTCCATTGTAAACTAAATTTCATCCCCTCTTGTCTACTCGATGATGTCATTTCAGCAATTCTCATCTCCTTCAAAAATCATGAATTTTTCACGACATCATTCCCAGCTTCAAACCAGCATGCTGGTTTTCTCAGGTTAACCAACAGCACACAAATCATTTCTTCTGAAACTGCCACTGTCTCTGCTTCCTTTCACAGCAAAGCTTCAGAGTTTCATCCTGCTATCCCTGTTTCCTCTCCTCCCATTCTCTCTTAACATATATTCCAGCTTGGCTTTCACATAAAACATGCCAAAGAAAGTGCTCAGTCAAGTCACCAGAAATCTCTCCATTGCTAAATTCAGTGATTCTCAGTCATCGTCTCATGTGACCTCTCATCAGCAAATGCCACCACTGATCACTCCTCCTTCAAATACTTTTTTCTCTTGGCGTCTAAGGCATCCTGTCTCCCGCTTTTCTGCCTTCCTGGAGATTTCTCTTCCTCAGCCTCAATCATCTTGCTTCTTGTCTCTGCAGCCTCTTGATTTTGAAGCGACCGGGGCTCAAGCTCTCTCTCCTCTACCTAGATTCACTCCACTGTTGAACGCATCGAAGGAAACCACCAAGCAAGTGCCAACTACCGAGTCTGTAATTTGATCCACACCTCTTTTCTAAGCTTCATATCCAGCTGTTTTCTCAACATCTCCACTTGGAAGTCTAACAGATAACCCTTAATATTTACACGCAAAAACCCTAATCTCAGTCCCCAAAACCCTCTACACCGAAGCCGATGCCCTCTATGTCTCACACCCCACGTACAGTCTATCAGGATACTCAGCTGGGTCAACCATGAAAATGAACACAGAACCCACCACATCCCCCCACCCCCCCGCCACTTCCCTGATCCGACCAGCAACCATCATCTGTAGTTAGGTAAGGACAAGAGCTTCCTAACCTTGCGACTCAGCCTACTCTCAGCACAGGAGCCTGAGGGAGCTCTGTAGAAGGCACCATCATCTCGCTCCTCCAGGCAGTCATCCCCTGGCTTACCCTTTTCACACATGTTAAAGCCAGAGTGATTCCACTTACCCGCATGGTTCTACACAATCTGTGCTGCCTCAGCCACCTGCTGCCTGAGTCTGTTCCTTCTTGCTTACTCGGCTACAACAAACTGCCTCGCCCGCTCATCAAATGTAATCTGCATTCATACTCCCTCTGCCTAAAACCCCTTTCCTCATTTGACCATGTGGCTAATTCCCTTCTCACCAGCTTTTTATCAGAAAGTAACAATTTTGATAAGGCTTACCTGGATTCCCCTATCAAAAATCCCAACTCCAACCAACAGCACTCCATAAATTCCTTATGTTTTCACAGGATTAGCACATTTAACATTATGAAGTTTACCTATTTATTAAGTTTATTGTCTGTCTGTCTTTCCCTGCTAGATAGAATGTGAGCTTCACAGGGGCAAGGACATATGTCTGCTTTTTTCATGGATGTATCCCAAGTTCCTTGGGGAGTGCCTAATATACAGTAGGCATTCAATAAATATTTGAGGAATTAATATTCTTGATTACCAGCTATCAAGCACAGTATAAATACGGTGGCTCAGTAAAAGTTACAGTTACCATATTAACCTTATGATACTACTAAAATCCCAAAGTATGTAAGTATAGGCTAATTCTTTTTTTCCTCATGCACTTTCAAGCAGTATTGAATAAATACTCAGAACAGGTAATGAAAATATTAAACGAAAATTTTCAACTCAGAAATATTTGCTGAAACTAAGCTATGTGCTTAGTCACTCAGTCGTGTCCAACTCGTTGCAACCCCACAAACTATAGCCCACCAGGCTCCACTGTTCATGGGGAGTCTCCAGGCAATAATACTGAAGTGGGTTGCCCTGCCCTCCTTCAAGGGATCTTTCCAAACCAGGAATCAAACCCGGGTCTCCAGCACTGGTGGCAGACTCTTAACCATCTGAGCCACCAGGAAGCCTGAAATTAAGCCATACATGTCTCTAAAGTTGAAGTGTTTGTTTTTATTAAAATGATTAAATTTATTAAAACTGGTATATGCTACTGCCTTGTCATTGAAAATAATTATTCTTTAAAATAACCTTACTAAGTAAGGACCTAATGGATAAAATTCCTAATATGTGAAGCATCATGTATCACATAATAACTGAAATCTCTCTAACCCAAAACATTTTTTTTTCCTTAGTATTGAAAAATCTGCCCTTCTCAACACACTTTTTCAGTGACTGGTTTAATCTTAAAACTTTATATTTAATTGTATTTTCATGGAATTACTTTATTTTCTTTGTAATAATTTTTAGCCCAATCACTGATACTGAGTTACTTAAAGTAATGAAAAAGTGGAATATTTCCTAAAGAATTATGGTTACATAATAGAGGAAATAAACATAATAGCTACTGTAGCTTGAAAGTCTTTAGAATTTACTTACTAAATAAGTATTAGCAATCAATAGAAACTGTTTTCTAATAGCAATTTAATGCTTCTATTTGGAAAAATAATTTTAAAATAATAAGAATTCTGCAAAGTAGATTGTTTCAACAGGGATTCACTTCCCTAACACATAGCAAAGCTAAAAAATAGGGGAAATCTGTCAATTCATCAAGTTTGCATTTGAATCAAGAAAAATAATGGATAATCATTTATTTCTTTACTTGAAATGCTGAGCCTTAAATTCTAGTACTGATCACTCAGAAGTGTATGAGTAACAGTTTTCCCTATTTGGATTTTACATTATTTCTTCCATTGTATTATGAATCCCAACTCAATTCAAACCTCACTAATTAAGCCATCAATAAAAGAAGTTAATGCTTGTCTATTGGAACTCAATTATAAATTAATAATCAATGTCCAAATAACCCATTTGATTATTAAATATGTGCCATTATTATTAGGTATAATATACTTTCATATTGCCTATGAGTTGGAAGAAATTTCCAGCCAGTTTGAAAGAAAGTGACTTTTATCATATATAGCTACCTCCTCTGACCACTAACAGAGCTAGCTACACAATGGATGTATTAAAACGTGTCCTGCCCACATCATTCTCAGACTGAAACAACATGGCCTGTGTTGTCACACACTGTGATTCTACTCACATCCTGAGATCCCAAGGAGCAGTACTGCATTTTTTCTGAACTATCATGTGTAACCAGAAACAAATGGAATAAGACTATTATTGTGTTTACATTTTTATTACCTCACAGTTTCTTTCCAAATCTCAGCTCACTAGTTTTGGTTTTACTACAATGTAATAAAAATTATTGTGGCTTTTAATCCTTTCAGAGGAAAATTTACAATATACTATTTTTTAAAAAGTCAAGGTAATCCTTAAACTTTTCAAAGATTTTCACACTTCTTCTTCCATGAACATCACAGTATTTGTAACAGATACGGCACTGTGTTCTTCTAGGTTCATGTGCGAATGTACTTTGCTATGTGCAAGAATATTAGAAAGGCTTTGAAGAAAATGAAGAATCACAGCATTCAGAATCACTATAAAGACTTTTGGTTATTCAGTTCAGTGGATTACATACCTTGCCCAGTAATTCTCCCAATGTGACATCTTCGTGATTGAGAACCCACTTCTTATCCTATGGCAAAAAGAAAGAATGGTATTTTTACCTTAAGTGAGAAATGCAATTGCTGTAAGATGCATTTGAGGCCGTGGCAAATAGACCTAAGGGATATTTCATTCATACCATTCAATCAACAGCACACAAAGAAGTTGTAACCTCAAGAGGTTATAAAACAGGTTTAAGAAAGTGTTACTACACAACAGAACTTTAAGATCTACATTATAGCAAATTTTTATCAGAGTTCTCAGCCTTCAAAATGATGGTACCCTGTAAGTAGAACACAGCATACACTCTCCTCCCACCATAAAGCTTAGGCTATGCTGTTATTTGTCATTTCAGAATGCTGTGTCATCAGTACATGAGGAAATTTCATTTTGCAATGTGAAATTTCCAATCCTCACTTCATCATACAGAATTATTGTTCTACCCAAACCACATTCCTAAGATCTAATTTTTCCACAGCTGGTCATGAGTTACGGCTGCCTATTTGAGTGAATATAGTCCCATATCTTTCCCAAGTAATTTCCTACAGCATAATAAAGCAACAAACATTACAGTATCATCAAGGTACACAAGACCAATAATGCAAACAGGTCATTATAAAAAAACACCCCATTATCTGATCTCAAGAACTAATCACTACTTAGGGAATATTTTATCATCTAAGAAGTCTCAGCTATGACAGCCCACAATGCTGCAATGGCAGAAAGACATAAATTAAAAAAGGAAGAAAAAAGGTAGGGGACAGACTGGAGAAAGGAGGGGAGGGAAAAAGAGGTGAAGAAAGAAAAATTCTGGAGTGCTATGTTTCAGTCTTTCTTTTAAAAAGCTTGCATTAGACCATAGTATTCCCCTGTTAGTTCAGTTCAGTCACTCAGTCATGTCCAATTCTTTGAGACCCCATGAACTTCAGCATACCAGGCCTCCTGTCCATTATCAACTCACGGAGTTTACCCAAACTCATGTCCATTAAGTTGGTGATGCCATCCAACCATCTTATCCTCCCACCTTCAATCTTTCCCAGCATCAGCGTCTTTTCCAATGGGTCAGCTCTCCGCATCAGGTGGCCAAAGTATTGGAGTTTCAGCTTCAACATCAGTCCTTCCAATGAATACCCAGGACTGATCTCCTTCAGGATGGACTGGTTGGATCTCCTTGCAGTCCAAGGGACTCTCAAGGGTCTTCTCCAACACCACAGTTCAAAAGCATCAATTCTTCAGCGCTCAGCTTTCTTAACAGTCCAACTCTCACATCCATACATGACCACTGGAAAAACCATAGCCTTGACTAGACAAGACCTTTGTTGGCAAAGTAATGTCTCTGCTTTTCAATATGCTGTCTAGGCTGGTCATAACTTTCCTTCCAAGGAGTAAGTGTCTTTTAATTTCATGGCTGCAATCACCATCTGCAGTGATTTTCAAGCCCAGAAAAATAAAGTCTGATACTGTTTCCCCATCTATTTCCCATGGAGTGATGGGACCAGATGCCATGATCTTATTTTTCTGAATGTTGAGCTTTAAGCCAACTTTTTCACTCTCCTCTTTCACTTTCATCAAGAGGCTCTTTAGTTCCTCTTCGCTTTCTACCTTAAGTGTGGTGTCATCTGCATATCTGAGGTTATTGATATTTCTCCCGGCAAACTTGATTCCAGCTTGTGCTTCTTCTAGCCCGGCATTTCTCATGATGTACTCTGCATATAAGTTAAATAAGCAGGGTGACAATATACAGCCTTGACGTACTCCTTTTCCTATTGGGAACCAGTCTGTTGTTCCATGTCCAGTTCTAACTGTTGCTTCCTGACCTGCATACAGGTTTCTCAAGAGGTAGGTCAGGTGGTCTGGTATTCCCATCTCTTTCAGAATTTTCCACATTTATTGTGATCCATACAGTCAAAGGCTTTGGCATAGTCAATAAAGCAGAAGTACATGTTTTTCTGGAACTCTCTCACTTTTTCAATGATCCAACAGATGTTGGCAATTTGATCTCTTGTTGCTTTGCCTTTTCTAAAACCAGCTTGAACATCTGAAAGTTCTCGGTTCACATATTGCTGAAGCTTGGCTTGGAGAATTTTGAGCATTACTTTACTAGCATGTGAGATGAGTATAATTGTGCAGTAGTTTGAACATTCTTTGGCATTGCCTTTCTTTGGGACTGGAATGAAAACTGACCTTTTCCAGTCCTGTGGTCACTACTGAGTTTTCCAAATTTGCTGACATATTGAGTGCAGCACTTTCACATAGACTGAAATATAACTGTGATCTATAGGACCAATTGCAACAAGGAGTCAAACATCTTGATGTAAAAACTCACCCCAATCATGGCTTTAAAATGTCTTGGACAGCCATTTTGAAGTATTTTACCTTCTGAAACTCTCTGTACCCAGCCAGCACCCTCTGATAGGTCAACAAAAGGAACAATAATGATTGCTTTGAAATAACATTTTACATGTAAGATCTGCAGGGGTTCCTAACAGGCCTCCTTAAGATGTTGGCATTTGGATTATTCTGAAGTAAAGGCAATGGGGACCCTGAGGACTCAAGGGAAATTTTTTCCTCCCTCTTAAGAATTGAAATGTGGTGATTTGCCCATAGTAACAGTCATTACCAGAAATAACTTTTCATGGCCTATGTGAATGACAAAGCAAACATCCATTACTAAACACCGGCTCTTCTTCTCTGAGAATCACCCTCCTCTTCTCTGAAGCCTTGGGCTCCTATACATTCCTTAGCTCAGGATGGCATATGTATCTTTTAGATTCCTAACTCTGAACTTCTCATGCCTATGGGGTTCCTATATGTACAAAATTAGATTTGATTTTTCTTCTCCTGTTAATCTGTCCTGTGTCAATTTAAATCTTACACTAACCAGAGAAACTAGAAGGATAGAAGAAAGTTTTCTGCTTCCATTTCAACCCAAGTATAAAACCAGAACTATAAAGGTCCTGGAAGTAAATACAAGAGAACATCCTTATGACCAAAATTCCTTAGGATACAAAAAGCACATTAAACAAAAAATGGAATTTATCTAATTAAAAATAAGTACTTCTCCAAAATCTCATTAAAAAAATGAAAAGTCCAACTACAATCTGGAAGAACATTTTTTGAAACACATATAAATGACAGATCATTTCTATGTAACACAGAGAATGCATATCTAAAAAACAAGATGACAAACAACCGAATTTTAAGAAATTAGGTAGAATAGTTAACAAAAGAGGATGGACAAATAGACAGTAAGCACATCAAAAGATGTTAACATCATCAGTCAGTAACATACAAAAACAAACCACAATAAGATGCTCCTTCACATCATTAGAATGAAGCACCTTCTGTTTACAATAGCCAAGACAGAGAGACAACCTACAGGTCCATGGGCAGGTGAATGGATAAAGGTGATGTGGTGATGTGGTGTGTGTATACACACACACACACACACACACACACACACACACACACACTCAATGGACTATCACTCAGCCATAAAAAAGAATGAAATAAAGCCATCTGCTGCAACATAGACAAGCCTAGAAATTATCACATGAAGTGAAGTCAAACAGAGAAAGACAAATATCATATGATCCCACTTATATGTGGAATCTCAAAAAATGATACATATGAACTCACTTACAAAACAGAAACAGATTCACATAGAAAAGAAACTTATGGTTACCAAAGGGGCAAAGAGGTAGGGAGGGATAAACTAAGTAGGAGTATGGAATCAGCAAATATAAATTATCATATATAAAACAGACAAATGAAGTCTTATTGTATACGTACAGAATTAACTTGCTGTGCAGCAGAAACCAACACAACACTGTAAATCAACAATATGTCAGCCAGACAACAGCTGTGCCTGGAGGAGCCTCTGTCTGGGAGAGGGCCCCCAACTCTGTATTTAAATAACGGCTGTGGTGTTACCTGGGGTTAAGGCTGAGGGGCGCTACTGCCATCTTTAGGGGTATAACAGAAGAAAGGGGATCTGGAACGCTTATTATTGCCAGAATGGCTGTTATCCAGAGGGTCACTCTTGGTTTGAAGTCACGAAAATAACCTTTCTACTGATGGACAGGAAAGCATGTTAGGTGGGGAGAAGACAAAACTGGGAGTGGACTAAACGGATAACCAAATCCCAGCAACTGAGGAGGAGTCCGTTAAGAGTAGGACGCTCCTAATCTGTTTTAGCTGAAAATGAAGATCAAAAGGAAGGAGCCTAGAGCCTCAGAATTTAGATTTGTGAGTCTGTCTCTAAGAGGGAGGGACAAAATACCCAAAGGGAATCCAGTGACAATTTGTTAGCTGCAATTTCGTAGAAATATGGACAGAGGGGCAAACTCCAATCTGTCAAACTGGAAAAAGGCAGCAGCACTTGACACACACCCTGATAAGGGGAACGATCCAACTCCTCCCTTACAAAATAAATGAAATATTCCTACTGGGGCTGCTGAATGGTTGAGAAAGGCAAGCAGCGTGAGGCACACGTTGACACTAAAGCTTCACCAAGCACTATGCCTCTGACCTGGGCTATGATGCACATGGCAACAAAGGAGGCCTTCTATAACTCTATCACTGGGGAAAACAGAAAGTCAACAGGCAGAAACTCCATCAGAATATAACTCAAAGGTAAGGCAGGGAACAGAGACACTAAGTCACACGGAGCTTGGAGAATGGAGAGTTGCTGAAGAGACTGGATCCTTGACTCGCCCATCATCTTTAATGACCTCACTTCTTCTCCCCTTTGCTCCCCAGAAAAGAAAAGCCACACTCCGGAGGACTGCCAGAAAGAACTGCAGCTCACTCCTCAACAACCATCTCAGACTTGGTATGTTCTACAGAGATTACAGGGCTTCCCTGGTAGCTCACAGGCAAAGAATCCGCCTGCAATGCGGGGATGTGGCTTTGATCCCTGGGTTGGGACAATCGCCTGGAGAAAGGCATGGCACCCACTCCAGTCTTCCTTCTGGAAAAACCCCATGGACAGAGGAGCCTGGTGGGCTACAATCTGTGGGATTGTAAAGA